GAAGTGCTTCCTTAAATCCAGTTTGAAATGTTCTCCCGCTAATTTCCACCTATGGCCACGAGTTCTTGTATTTGAACTAATGCTGAAGTAACTATCCGGTTGAACAGCATCCAAACCTGTTAGAATCTTATAGACCTGGCATGTGTCATGTTTTTACAGGCAGTGAAAGGAAGAAGGAAGTCAATGTAACAAACACACTTCCTTTCAACAACATAACATGATTACTCTGTTATGCAATTACTACCGGGGTGCACTGCAGGGAACCCTTTGTGTCCAAACTTCCTACTTGCAAAATATACAAGAGCCACCGTTTCCAGATTAGTTTAATGACCATCATTTGGCTCGTGGCACAAAGTCGAATGCACAAGAAAACAAAAACAAACAAGTAAAAAACATTCAGCTACGTCAACACACTTCATTGAGTTGACTTGACATGTGTACCTTAATTCTGTGTCCTGTGCATCACGTAGTCGATGTTTGCTGTTTAATCTAGGTACTCCACAAAGATAAAAAAATAGTGTATCGACAGAAAGCCATCTCACTGTAATTCACCAGCCTTAACTGATTCAGTGTACTCATGTCTTTCTGTTCTTCTGTCGCTGAATTTGCTTCAGGTATCTGTTTGGCAGGTATCTGACAGGTCTGATCAGTTTTCCAAGGACATTTACTGTAAATTGATTTTCAAGATTTTTTTTGTACAATTTCCCACGGTCAGGACACTATCAGGACCCTGTAGCCAGAGCTTGAGGTTTTCATGTGCGCTAAGCTTTTGGCAAATGTACACAGAAGTAGGTAACACTCTGCTGTTTTTTGTCAGAAATTGATCTGATATAGATGTTGAAGTGTGGCAGTGAAGAAGGGTGCACAGGGCGGCCCACTGAGAAATCTACCTACATCCGTGGGTGAAGAAGACATATCGGGTTGCTTGTGATTGTTCTGACTGCAAAGCAGACTGATTGCTTATGACATGCTGAAGGTCAGGCTGAGCCTATGTCCATGGCACCATAACCTGCCTGATTATCACTGACTTTAAGCAATGTATAACTACCTTTGTCATGTCAGGCACTCTCTGCAGGTGCAGCACCTGTGCCAGAGAGGGAGTTGAACTTCCTGGAGTATTTCCGTATGGCAAACAATTAATGTATTGACTGGCATACTGTAACACAATAATAGGCAGTGTTTCTGGTAAATGTCATCATAGCTACTTTTCAAGTTATAAAGGCTGCGGGCAAAATAGAAAGGATGAGCTTGAACCACAATTCAAGCTATTATTAACTTGGGCTAAATACGATTATGTAGCCTATCCACGCTTATATGGTTCACCCAGCAGTTTATTAAACAAGGGGTACTGTAGATGCATTAGGTATGGAGCTATTATAGACAGTTACTGTAGGTTTCTGCTGTTAAATGGCATATTTGCTTTCACCAAATTTTAAATAGTATTTGAAGGAGGTAGCTACTATTACTGAGTTTTCGCAAGTATGGGCTGAATATGTTTCCAGCTTTTGTTTTTTTTTTTTTCTTTTCTTTTACTGTTGTCGGTTTTTTCAACATAATCAATATTACAGCATACAGTGTGTTGTACTTCTTTTTTATATATGTGTGTAGAGATAGCTCCCAATTTCAGGATATAAAGATGTATGAGAATTTTCTGCGGCAAAAATGTTTCCTTTTTCATTTTTTTTTTTTTCTTTTAATTTGCACGCAACTGAACGCACGCTGCCCAAAAACGCTGTCTGACACTTTCCTATGGAGCCCCTGAAAGGACCTGAACAGAAAAACGAAATGCGAAACTATCTCGTGCGCACGCGAAAGTAAAAGCATTTTTTTTTTCAGATAACTTTGCTTTAAAAAATATCTGCTGTGCATGCCCGATTTGTACCTTGCACGTTTGTGCATGCGTAGCATCACACTTTACGGTATATTTTACAATGGTACCAGATTAGTACCACTTTCACAACCCATCCTGACCCCATCAATACACCAGGTTAATTTTATGTACTGTATGTGAGCTCCACCAGCTCAGCAGGGGCTACAGGAAGAAAAACACCACCCCATCTGCTAAAAATCAAAATGACAAAAACCGATTGCCAATGTTACAATTTGGGTTTTTTGTCCAAGGATTTTTTTTGTATAAATGTGCATATATATTTGATTAAATATTTTTTCTAGTGATAGCTTTGTGTTTCCTTTGTTTATTTGGCAAACATTTATGATGATTTTTTTTTTTTGGCTGGAACCAAAGTCATAATTTTTATAACATTTCTCTAGTTCTCGATTCACAAGCAGTAATTTGGAACGGATTAGCTCGTAAAGTTGAGAACTACCTGTACTTCTGATTCAGTTACTGAGTAACAGCCTTATGTTACAAGTTCTTGGAAGTTCTTGGATGTTCCTCAAACCCTCTGAGTTGGATGGGTAGCTACTGTACTCTGTTTGCAAAGCGGTTTTTCACTCCAAAACTACAAAGTGGGAAATGAAAACCTCGTAGAGCCATTGGTGAGAAAGTCTTCTGAAAAGAGGAAAGTTGGTTAATTAAGAAGCGAAGGATGGACAGAAGGACGGCTCCGCCTGTTTTGATCATTATTGTTATGTGTTCTTTGGGGTGATCATTTCTGGCTCGGCCTCAAAGGCATCTCATTAATCTACACCTTTTCATCTGTTCTATTTTTTTTAGTTAGAAGATTTAAAAGTAAGCACAGTTAAACCCAAATAATTTGAAGGAAACTATGAAGTCATTGGGCTGATGATCTTAGAAGGACGACATGTAATGTTGTATCAAGAAGTCCTTGCAGACTTGTGGTCCACAGCTGAGATGCCCAATTTCTTTTGTGCCTCCGCATTTGATTTTTTGTCCGAAAACCACATCCACTCAGTCTGCGCTGTGTGATTTTTCTCTTGTCTTGTTTCCTGATTCAGCTCGCAGTTTTATTTGGTGCTGGAAGTTCCCCTGCTTGTTGGGAAATGGTGTGGGGCGTTCTCAGCGTCGTGGTACCAGCTTTTGAGGTTTTCTGCGGAAGCACACTACAATTGTCGCATTTCTCTAATTAAGTAGCTAGTTGGCATGACCTTGACACAGAGCTGTTCTTTGACCTTCGCTTTTCCAGGGAATATTATTACGAAATCGGCATATTTCATTACTTCAAAGTAAAGAGTTTCACTGACTTTGGTGACATGCTGACTAATGGAAATTTACTAAACAAAAAAAAAATGAGTCACACACTTTGTAGTGAGATCTGTGTTGATTATATACCATTGTATAAATATCGTCATGCCTCCATTTTTAAAACGAACGTCAATAACTTTGATGTTTCTATAGTGACCACATAGCAGCGTGCTCGACCACAGCGAATGTTGATGTTTGATGTTTTAAAGCCAGCTGATCAGATAATGTAGAAAACGCCTCCTTGTTGACTTCCTCTATCTTTTCTCTGTACAGGGCTGCGGAGTCACGGTCAGCATGGCCCAGTGGAACCAGTTGCAGCAGCTGGACCCCAGATATTTGGAGCAGCTGTACCACTTATACAATGACAGCTTCCCCATGGAACTGCGGCAGTTCCTGGCCCCCTGGATAGAGAGCCAGGACTGGTGGGTGACTTAAAGAGCTTGCAGGTGGAATTGTGGGTCATCATGCACCATTTCAGGAACATGGGGGGGTCTTTGCAACAAAAAACTATAATGACAGTTATGCTGAGGGAGAAAAAAACCACAACTCGGGCAGTGTGAGACTCTTTGGGTTTGGATGGTGAACAGAAGGACACCGGCTCAAGGCCCTTTGCTGACAGTGTAACGCCACTTTTGGGCCCTTGAGCAAGGCCCTTAATCCCATTTTTTCCAGGGGACTGGCTGACCCTACACTCTGATCCACGTTGCTTTGGAAAAAACCATCCCGTAAATAAATGAATGTGAATTTGGAAGCCCATATCTGTGAAATTCTTATCCAGGCAGATAAATAGATGGAAGAAGTACAGAAAGCACAACAGTTTAAAACAAGATCACAGCTGCAGCGGTAATGTAACAGGAGACCCGATAGCATGTAAATGCACTAATAGGATTGTGTGAATAGACGTGGACAGGAAGCCACAGGACCATTAGTGTTTAATCTAGGAAATTCAGCACGTCTAATTAATGTGAATAGGCCGAAGACCCAACCACATCAATATGAGCATTTAATATAGGAAACTGAGATGTACAGTCAAGACTTTGAGGACATTTTGAGATGGGAGGGAGAATAAGAGAGAAAAACTAGCAGACCAGTAGTGCGTTTCCCAAAAACTGCTGTTAGCAACTTACATGGTTGGGACCCATTCATTTGCATGGTTCCAACTAAGTTGCTAACATAATTAGCAGCTATGCTTTTGAAGCATAGGGGAAGTTTCATCATATACAGACCATAACTAGAGCCGGTCTTTTTAAATTCCATTATCTAAATCCCTGAATCTCACTATCAGTACCTGAGCCTTAATATGGTCATTATGATTAATAATGCCATCAGAGTGGTGATTCTGGGAAGTGGAGATACTGGGCTGATCATATTCCAAGCAGATAATCCCACATGATGGAGGAAACTGATGATTTTACGTGTCGACGTTGTGATTACATAAGGCTCTATCGTGATTTATTATGCGGATATTTGCAGAAACTAGACCTTTTTAAAACAATGATGACTGTAATTGTGACCCTGGACAAGGACAAGTTGCCAGTATTGTAGTTTAATCATAAATAACAGTATGCCTTTCTGTGCTATACTTTTTCCTTGTATTAGTGTTGTGGAGGGTCTTTTTTGCAGGGGATTACATTACTAGTTTGGTAAGTCTTTGTCGTTCAGTCCTAGTCAAATCTGAAACATGATTTTCTGACTGTTTTCAAGCTGTCAGTGTGCAATAAGGCAACTTTTCACTTCCTCATCTACGCTATGCCCCAGTCAGCCAGCTGTTACTCCAGATATCTCCCACGTCAAGCCTGAATGAAAATGCACAGCATCAGTTTGTAACTCTGAAGAACGAAAGTGAACATAGCTAATGTCCTTGTACGGTGGTTGAACTTGCCGCAAATCTCACAAGAGTGCAGCTGGTGAGGAAAGGTGCAGGAGTCATTTTTGTCCTCTTTGTCTAAAGGCAAATCAGTGATGGGTTTGTGTCACCTTTTCTCAAAACTGACCGTGATTCACTTCCTCTCCCCACACGCTCAGCAAATTCTATATTCTATATTCTATATATTGGATACCCATATTTCTTCAGCAGGAGGACCAAGATAACAGTTTGTAAGGACCATAATGTCTAGCTACAGCCCTGCTTGTGTATGCTCAACAGCAGAGGTGGACATTTCAGGTCCAGAAAGTAAAAATCCAGGTCTGGATTTTTACCTTCTGTACCTGAAATGTCCGCCTCTGCTCGACAGTGAAATGGGGTCAGTCACGCAAGGACAGCCTCAGAGTCGTGGTCAGTGGACTTCTGTTGAATCTGAATGTTTGCTCAGGGCCTACGCTGCCAACAAAGAATCCCACGCCACCCTGGTGTTCCACAACCTCCTGGGGGAGATCGACCAGCAGTACAGCCGCTTCCTACAGGAGAACAACGTCCTCTACCAGCACAACCTGAGGAGGATCAAACAGAACCTCCAGAGCAAATATTTGGAGAAGCCTATGGAGATTGCCCGCATCGTGGCCCACTGCCTATGGGAAGAACAGCGCCTCCTGCAGACTGCCACTACCGCCTCCCAGGTGTCTATATTTCTCAAGATAATGCTTTTTGGGGTTGGTGGTCTAACTTTTTTGGACGAGGTTGTGTAGCCAAAGCCTGTAGCTTAAAACCTTAGCTTCTCCCCGGACAGGACGGCCAGGCTATTCATCCATCTGGACCGGTTGTCACTGAGAAGCAACAGATGCTGGAGCACAACCTGCAGGACATCAGGAAGAAGGTGCAGGTGAGTGTAGACTGGGTCCCAAAAACCAACATCTAGCCAGATATGCTATTAAAACAAGAGATTCTTCAAAATGCTCTGAACATTGTTTACGTGGTTAATGTTCCAGTATTATTGGTTTCTATTGATCCTCAGAGATTTAATTTATTTCAGTTGGTGCATAAGATGAAATTATACTGGCAGCTTATTATTATTTTTGCGAAAGAAAAAAAAACACGAGGCACTTACTGGAAACGGAAAATTCCGGGCCGCGCACTCCGTGTGTACACGATTGTATTACAACCACACAATAAATGTTTGGCAGCAATTCCTGGCAGTGCAGACGACTAGAGCCTGTGTATTTAAAGAGAACGTGATAACGTGAAAAAAAACACAATGTTTTTTTTTCCGATTATTAGGACATGGAACAAAAGATGAAAATGCTGGAGAACCTGCAGGATGACTTTGACTTCAACTACAAAACGCTCAAAAGCCAAGGAGGTGAGACTGAAGGAGTTTGGCTGGAGCTCTGGGCTTAGGTTTTCGTATATTCCTTCTGCTGTCAAAATGCGACTGTGGTATACGCCGGCCACCGGAACTTGCCGACAAGAACGGCACAGATTCTCCGGTTCGAGGCGTCCCTACACAGGTGTCCCCCAACTGATGCTGCGCTCTCTTTTCGGCGCAGAGCTGACCCAGGATCTGAACGGTAACGGGCAGGCGGCGGCCGTCAGGCTGAAGATGTCCCAGCTGGAGCAGATGTTAAGTGCACTGGATGGGCTTCGCAGGGTGAGCGCGGCCGACCTTCCCGGAGGCTGCATCCGTGTCGAGGCAGATCCAGCATCTGATAATGTCATATTCCATTAGAAATCGACAATGCAGACGTGCATCCAGCCAGTAATTCTGGGCGAAGACACAGCAGTAGGGGGCTCTGAAGTGCACACCACCACACATTAACAAATTCCAGTAGCATTTACAAAAATGCAAAAACATGTTAACACACAAAAAAAGTGAGGTAACAGTTTACATAAGGCCATGATTTTAGTAATTTATAAACATCCATAACACATTATAATGCATTCATAAAGCATTATAAACTTGGCTATAAATACTTGGTAACGCTTTACATTAAGTGCACCTTCATAATGCATATATAGAACATTCGTAAGCAGCGTGCAAGTACACTTTAACATCCTAACATCCCTTAACAGCATTATTATACATTAATAACAAACATTACATGATTATACAATTATAATGTTTGTTATTATTATATAATGTTTGTTATTAATATATATTACAGCTGTTAAAGGATGTTAGGATGTTAAGGTGTACTTGCATGCTGCTTATGAATGTTCTATCTATGCATTATGAATGCATTATGAAGGTGCAGTTAATGTAAAGCGTTACCGAATATTTACGCTATCTAGCGCTCATTGGTGTTATTTTAAACTGTTATATTTAGCTATATTTATGTTTGATGCTTTAAAAAATCTCTCAGGATGATGATAAAGCATGCAACTGCAGAAAACTGCAAAAGCCAGAATAATTAGGAAATGTTGTGCTTGTGTTTGAAGTGGATACGGCCCGACAGAGAGCAGTGCATGGAGACTGCGAGGAAACGCAGACGGATCGTAGACGAGCGTGAATGGATTGGTTCTGGAGGTCATGCTTTCTTTGCAGCAAATGGTGACGGAGATGGGAGGCTTGTTGACGGCCATGGAGTTCGTGCAGAAGAATATGATGGAGGAGGAGCTGGCCGACTGGAAAAGGCGGCAGCAGATCGCCTGTATCGGAGGGCCCCCAAAAATCTGCTTGGATCGCCTGGAGACCTGGTAGGCGGAACTCTAAGAGGAGCCATGCTTGGAGTCATCTTCAGCATGTTGGACTTTGAGGCAGGGGCATGGAGGAGCAGGGGTACCCTCGCAGATTCAGGGGGTCTCATGCTTCACTTCTGGGGGCCCTGCAAATTTTACTGGGGGGAGGGAGCAAAAATTCTACTGTTACCCCCCCCCCCCCACCCATGGTGGACAAATTCCAACTGCCTTGGAGGATACAAATATGTCATCAAATTTAAAATGGCAACCCTGACAGGGGCCCCAAAGTGACAATTTGCCAGGGCCCCAAAGTGACAATTTGTTAGGGGCCCCAAAGTGACAATTTGCCAGGGCCCCAAAGTGACAATTTGTCAGGGGCCCCAAAGTGACAATTTGCCAGGGCCCCAAAGTGACAATTTGTCAGGGGCCCCAAAGTGACAATTTGCCAGGGCCCCAAAGTGACAATTTGTCAGGGGCCCCAAAGTGACAATTTGCCAGGGCCCCAAAGTGACAATTTGTCAGGGGCCCCAAAGTGACAATTTGTTAGGGGCCCGAGAACTTCTAGTTAGTCCCCCGCTTTGGATGATAATAGAAGCAACATTTACTAACACACACATAATAATCCCAAAATCCTCTGCTCCATGAAAAGAGTAAATAACGTTTTATGCTTTCTTAAATGTGTTGTATCTAATTTAATTATAATTATCCCTCTTAAAGGAAACCTTCAAAAGCACAGGTTTTAAGCAGTGCTGGGGACATTACTCACAAAGTAATCCACTAGAGACAGAGACGGAAAGCTCAGGTCCAGATAGTATAAATCCAAAGTTGAGCTCAGCTGGTTGGTTGTAACAAAACCTTGGTCTGGATTTATACTTTCTGGACCTCTGTCTTTAATGGATTATTTTTGTGAGTAGTTTCTCCACCACTGGTTTTAAGGTAACCCTTTAATAGCTAAGTGATTTTTTTTTGCCAGAATGCCAGGCAATTAACTAACTCAGAGATATGCTGTGTATTATTTCTATAGAGTTCTGTGCAAACAAATGAAAATGAAAATAGTAGATTTGCAGCACCTGCCCTCCCTGGTGGGCGGGGCTACACTGGCCTGGCCGTGCTCATTAAGTCAATCCCTAAATCAGGATCACATCCCTGGCGGAGTCGCAGCTGCAGATTCGGCAGCAGATCAAAAAGCTGGAGGAACTTCAGCAGAAGGTGTCCTACAAAGGAGACCCCATCATCCAGCACCGACCTGCCCTGGAGGAGAAAATCGTGGACATCTTCAGGAACCTAATGAAGAGGTGAACTCTCAGGGCAGAACCAAGTGTGTGTGTGTGTGTGTGTGTGTGTGTGTGCGTCATGTGATAAAAACCTTTTGATAGTTATTTTTATAACAATTTTTTTTATAACTCAGTTTTATAAAGATTTCTGACTTTCGCAGCCGCTTTTTAAATATTTATTAAACTTAGGTAACAGAGCAGGAGACAGTTTGATGTTGGGGAGGGACACAACTTAATAATTTATATGCAGAGATCTGTTTATTAGGTTGCGAGGGGGGAATGAAGCCAAATTAAAAATTGGGGGTTACACGCCCCCCCCGCTGATTCCTGTGCCCCTGCGCTTAGGTTGTTTACTACTCCCTTATATTTGCTGTATGCAACACAATGATGGCAGAGTTTAATGCGCCCCCCCTTGTCCTGTTGTGGTACTGCAGTGCTTTTGTGGTCGAGCGCCAGCCATGTATGCCGATGCATCCTGACCGGCCTTTGGTCATCAAGACGGGAGTTCAGTTTACCACCAAAGTCAGGTAGGAAATGCCCTTCCCATGTTTATGGTACTCTACGGTATGCAGCTACTGTATCCTCACCTTATCAGCTGATAGGGTGACAATGAATGACTATTCAAAGGAAGGGCACTGTTCTTTTTTTAAACCATAATGTGTTTTACCTGATTAAAATTTAACACATGAACTTTGAGTTGTTTTGGTTCTGTCCAGGTTACTGGTGAAGTTTCCAGAGCTAAACTATCAACTAAAAATTAAAGTTTGTATCGACAAGTGAGTAAACAGATCGTCCTTTTTCACAATCAGATATTTTAGCATTCTTACAAGAATGTGCAAAGGACTCGGGCAGCCAGACTTAATCAGTCTGTTTTTTTCTCTGTTGGTTTCTGTAGAGAGTCGGGTGATGTAGCTTCTCTGCGTGGGTAAGTGGGCACTCCCTTGTCATGAAGGCACCCATCAGGTTCCGGAATTGTGCAATAAATAGGTGCTTTGTGAATGTGCATTTCTATTTGAAGATAATTAGGCATTTACTAGAAGTGCAATTCTATTAACATGACCAGACCTGCGTTTTTATTGATATATATATTGATATATTTTGATATATTTTATATATATAAAAAAGCAGGCATATGTATATGGGCAGTGGTGGTTTGATGGATAGGGAAGCGTACTTGTAATTGAAAGATTGCTGGTTCAAATCCCCGACCAGCAAATCACCACTGAGGTGCCCCCCCAGGCACTGCCCCCCCAGGCACTGCTCCCCTGGGCGCTGAATTAGCTGCAATTTGCTATGTCACGATGTCACATATGGGTTAAATGCAGAGGACACATTTCGTTGTTGTGCACTGTGTGCTGTGGTGTGTTAACAATGACCACTGATCACCAAATTCTATTCTATATATATTTGATATTATTATTTAAATTGTGGTGATTTAGGTCTCGTAAGTTCAACATCTTGGGCACCAACACCAAGGTGATGAACATGGAAGAATCTAACAACGGCAGCTTGTCTGCAGAGTTTAAGCACCTGGTGAGCGCTAATGATAGCTAATGACATTGTGGTGGATGGCGGCCTAATGCTGACGCCTCCTTGTGTGGCCCTGATGGGCGTTTCGCATCGCTCTGCCCTGGTCTTGTGTTGCCCCTATAACAGCTTGCATCCATCCTTTCAGACTCTGAGGGAGCAGAGGTGTGGCAACGGGGGCCGGGCCAACAGTGACGTGAGTGTCTCACGCAGCCTGAGCCTTGCTGCCTACTGGTCACCTGTCATGTCGACTGTCACACAACAACACAGAGTGTAACCGAATGTTAGTGAGCTGAATCGCGGGGCTTTTACGATGCATGCTCAGTAGGTGCCATGACGGATGTAAGGCATCTCATTTTATCTAGGCTGAAGAACACTAGCAAAGCAAAGAATAATTAATTTCATATTTTATGGCTTTAAATAGTGAATATCTGGCAAATAAACCATTTAACTATATATACAGTGATATGACATTATTATTGCTATTGTGGAGTTGGCTATTACATGGTATGTTTAACACTACGTATCTGCTGTACTTCATAGACCTTCTGTTTAAAATTGTAAAAAGCACATGTGCGACTGGATCTTCGGTGTGTCTGCAGGCCTCACTGATCGTTACTGAGGAGCTTCACCTCATCACCTTTGAGACGGAGGTGTATCACCAGGGCCTCAAGATTGACCTGGAGGTGAAGCATCTTTGCAATTCTATTTACTCATTTGGAGATTTTACAGGAGTGGTTTCAGTACCATAAGTACCTTCAATTTGTGCCTTAGAAAACTATGCTGTTTACTGAAATATTTTTTCTCTAAACAGCTCATTCTATGCAGTACACGTTTGAAGTAACTTTTACAGACAAATATTCAGCTGTTGAGTAGCTGTCATGTTGGGACTAGGAGCGGGAGACAGGACCCTGGCAACAATAGGGAAAATTTATCATTTATACACAAGTAACGAGTTGGACAAGAAGCAGCTACCTGTCATTGACAATTAACCAAATACTAGGGACTAGGGACTAGGGCTACACAGGAGATACTTGGAACAAAGGTGAAGCAAGACATAAATACACAACACAGTTCAAATTGGAACAACTAACAACAGAAGCACAAAAACCTGCACAAACACTGAAATACACAAACAGAAGATAACATTTAACAAGGGGGCTTACAAACGCAAAATGTCCAAACCCATTACAGATGGGGAGCACAACTCTCACCCGCCCGCATGGCCCGTTCAGCCATGCAGTAGCACAGACAGCAGGGGAACACACTTGGAATGGTGAGAAGTGCTAAGGCAAAGGAAACACAGGGAAAGTAACAGGATGACCAGCAACACCTGCTGGCCAAATGAGGAAATGACAAACAGGACAGATCAAGACAAGGACCGGTCCTGACGTTAGCCAGTTTGCTATAACAAATCTAAAATTAACTGATCTAGGCATGTAACTATTAAAATATACTTTTCAGCTATTGATAGTTGTATTCTTTTGCCAAAATGATGTGTAAGAAAGAGCTCTGGGGCCCATTTCAGCATCAAGTATACAGGCACCTGTGAAGGAGATCTTAACGTTCCAAGCGCTCCGCCTCTCAGCATGCTAATATTAAACACTCAATGGCTGAGCCCTGGCACAGGGCCTCGCATTTCTGTTACCGGTGATTAATAAAACAGTGAGTAATCTGCCACTGTGGGCCTTGGATTTCACAGCAGCCTGCAAATTAGGCCGCAAATGAGCATGGCAGTGATGCTCAGCAGCGCCCCAGACCCTCTAGGTGCCCGGCTCTTGCTGGGCTGCGCGTGCCAGACGGCGATGGCTCTATAATCCGCGCCGCCCTGTGCCTCACGCTAATGTCAGCCTTGCCCGCCTCACTGGGGTCTCCTCCTATTATGACAAAATGGGATTTCATTCGCTGATTAAGGGGATCATCATGTACCATTAATGTCTAGGACAGTCGCAGCAAGGAGAGAATTCTGTGGTTGTGATGGATGAATTAAGTCTTATAGAGGAGGTATAGAAACAGGAATTTAAAAAAAAAGGAATTAAAATAAAGTGTGGTTTGTTTATAGCTACTATAAAAATAATAACAGCTCAATTCAATTGAAATTTTTTTTATAAAGCACTCTTTCCCTACACCACTATACCTACACAATCATAAACATGCACAACACACAGAGGAAGCAGAAAATGCTAGAAGATAGTAGAGAAGAACAAGGACACCTTAGATATGACTATTAGGGGGAAGAATTAACTTCCCAGGGTCCAGGAGCTGTGGTCACATTTGCATATTGGGTGGTAAGACGACAAGATTAATGGTCTGATCAAAATGTGAACCAATGCATACTCTCGTTAGTCTTTTTCAGTGTGTTTCTGTTCCTGTTTTGTTCTCCACAGACTCACTCTTTGCCAGTGGTCGTGATCTCCAACATCTGTCAGATGCCTAATGCTTGGGCCTCCATCTTGTGGTACAACATGTTGACCAATCACCCCAAGGTAATATTCCACGCCCTGGGAGCTCCTGATTAGAAACCCTGGATATCAGTGAAATAACTGAAGAACCTACAAGTATTTTGAGAGTTTGGCATATTTGACAATGCAACTTTAATAAATCACTTAAGGGGTGGAATGTATTTTAGATTGAGACACGGTATCAGTAATGCTCAGGTAACATAGTCGTGGAGATCTTACACCTAATTTCAAGATTATGGATTTCCAAGACTCTTCACAGATTGATCTTTTCATCGATTCAACCTTCCGTAAGGAAACACCTGAGAGACCACAGTTACCTAATCAATAGTGAAATGAAATGATTATATAATATATAGATTATGCTCCTTGTATTTGTGTCATCAGAACGTGAACTTCTTCACCAAGCCACCAGTGGGAACATGGGACCAAGTGGCTGAGGTCTTGAGCTGGCAGTTCTCCTCCACCACCAAAAGAGGACTGACCATCGAGCAGCTGTCCACACTGGCCGAGAAGCTGCTTGGTAAGAGCATACTGTCATGACCACATCCTTACCTCATCCGCCCTTAGAGCTCCTGTCACTCCGCCTCTGGCCTTATGATCCATCTCATTACTTGCTGCTTTGATCTCCCTGTACATGATGTTCTTGTGCTATTTTTGTTAGGACCATTAGTGAACTACTCCGGATGCCAGATCACTTGGGCGAAGTTCTGCAAAGTACGTATCTCATCCACTGCCACGTTCATTAAGTTGACTATAAATATCTGTGTAGCCTTTTTAAAACTCAACAATTTTCTGCATATCATTGATCTAGGAAAACATGGCTGGCAAAGGCTTCTCCTTCTGGGTGTGGTTAGACAACATCATAGACTTGGTGAAGAAATATATTCTGGCTCTCTGGAATGAAGGGTGAGGAGATATGTATTGCTCTGTAATAATAATCATAATAGATAACTGTAGGTGAGAGCAAGCTGGCTGTGAAGGGCAGCCACCCATAGCAGCACCCAGGGGTTAAGGGCCTTGCTCAAGGACCCACCGACGTGCCAAGGCTGGGCTTGAACCAGCGACCTTCTGATCACAAGTCCAGAGGCTTAGCCCACTGAGGGCAGCACTGCTAGTCATTTAAAGAGCTTTAATTCTCAGTGGTCTTTCTCGTTTGTTTGCTAAATTGAAGTATGTTTGTTAAATTGAAGAAGTAAATTTGAAGTTGCCTACTTGTAAATACACTTAGCATTGTCAACACGGGCAAGGGTATAGAATTATTACGTCGAACTCTTCTTAGTACTCACTGATGGAGCGTGCAGGAGACCCATGGACCACGGAAATCCGGGTCATGCGATTGAAAATAGAGCGACACGTTGTCCTCAAGAGGGCCTCGGACACTAACGCGCCAAGGTCTAATTTTGCTCACTCTTCAGGTTCATCATGGGCTTCATCAGCAAGGAGCGCGAGAGGGCAATCCTGAACCCCAAGCCACCCGGGACCTTCCTGCTGCGATTCAGCGAGAGCAGCAAAGAGGGCGGCATCACCTTCACGTGGGTGGAGAAGGACATCAGCGGTAGGGGTTTGTCACCGTCTGCTGCAGCCCCAGTGCCCTATGATTCATCATCTTTGAAGACAAGAGTCAATATGTTCATGATAATTAACACATCTTTGCGTTTGTACCCATAATACTAAATAAATAGTTATTTAACCTCTGTGAAAATGCCTGGCCAACTACTTCATATAGTACTTCTGTGATGCACATCTCCCTAACACTCAACAAATTCTAATTTGTGAAAAGCCATCCATTGTGAATCCTGTCGCAGGCACCAACTTGCTAGTTTCTATTTGAGTTTATCCTATTCTCTTTCACATAGCCAAAAACTATAATCTATAAGGGAGCCCCAGATGGTCCACGGGAGCTGGGGAGAAGCAAAAAATGTGGACCGTCTCAGGGTCCATGAGGACGCGCTTGAGAAACACTGATGGACGGGGACACTGTAAAGCGAGGGAACGTGAGGACGATTCCAAGGGCCCCTGAGTGACTGCGGCCCTAAAAAATTTGGAACATAATCCAATTGATCTGGGTTGGAGGCCTAATATAATATGCTTTCATGGGGCCCAAAACCTTTAGCGGCATCCCCCGCTGATGTATAATATATGCTGCAGTTCTGCGCATTGTTGGAAGGTTTTGATACAACTGTGTAATTCACTCAGTCATCTCTGTGTTCTCTGTATTTTCCGGTGGCCGTTTTGCTTATTTTTTTTTTTTTATTTGTGTGTGTATCGCAATCAGGCAAGACACAGATCCAGTCCGTAGAGCCCTACACAAAGCAGCAGCTCAACAGCATGTCCTTCGCGGACATCATCATGGGCTACAAGATCATGGACGCCACCAACATCCTGGTGTCGCCGCTGGTGTACCTCTACCCAGACATCGCCAAAGAAGATGCCTTTGGGAAGTACTGCAGAGCAGAAGCCATAGAGCAGCCAGACTTGACTGACCCGGGTAACATCTCTCATATCCATTCCCTTGGTCAGGTAGATGTATTTGAGGGACCACTGGTACACGGATTAGCAGCCTGTTGAAGACCCCCCCCCCTTTTAAAAATAAAAAATCTGGCCACAATCTGATATTAAAAGCTTAAATTCTTGAAGGTTTTACCTGAAGCATGATTCAATACATCATGTGTATACTAAAAATGACGATTTGCTTTTCTAATTTACATTTTTTTTCCCCTCTCTAATAGCTCACGTCCAGTACTTGAAGACGAAGTTCATTTGTGTGACACCGTAAGTATGCCCTGAGACATATTAGTGTTTACTGCTGAAATTTCCAGAACTGTGGATTTTCACTTTGGGCATAGCAGTGTGCGTCACACGGAAAAAGTTGCAAGCCTTCGCCTTGATAATAGTCTGATTGGTTATGTTGGCATATTTGACCTTGAGGTGGGTCATTGGATTGTGTTCTGAGTCACACACTGAGTGCTCATCACCAAGATGTGAAAAGCAAAGACAATTTAGAGCAGAAACAAAACACTTGTGTGTGTTTTTTTTTCCGGCTTTCAGGAGGTTTAGCTCCTTGACCTTCATTCTGAGTCTGCTGTTGAAGGGATGGCCTGCAGTGTTTTTCTGTTTATGTGCACCGGCTGCCGCTCCTTCCAAATCTGACTGTCATGGACGAAATTTGGCAGGTGTAAATAATGCCACGGAGGCGTCTCTGCATTTACACTGCAGAAGGTCAAGGCCGTCCATCTGATAGCAGCCGAACGCGCGGGGATGTAGAGCAGTGTTTCCCAATCCAGTCCTCAGGGAGCCAGACAGCCCACGTTTTTGCTCCCTGTGGAGAACTGGGAGGGAGCAAAAACGTGGACTGTGTGGCAGGGAGCTGGGAGGGAGCAAAAACGTGGACTGTGTGGCACTAATGTTGAGAGTTTGTTGTTACATTCTCATCTTAGTTTTGCATGGTCAGAGTTTTGTTTACAAGCATAATATATTGTAGATTTATGTTGATTAAATATCCAATCCTGGTGCTAGACTATTAAGCAGGACCAGCTGTAGAGCATATATGTCTCCAGTTTTGGCTTTTCTATACTGGCTCCCAGTAAAATATAGGATAGAGTTTAATTTCAGAAATATTTGCATATAAAGTTCTTTACAGTTAAGTGTCCACTTACTACTGTGATCATTTGATTTCATGCCCATGAACATTAGACCAGCCAGCAGTGTGGTATCTTTTAAACTGCATCTGAAAACATTTTTGCACTGACAGTCCTATTACTGATGTATGTAAATGATTGTTTCATTTCCTGTGAAGCACCGTATGGCATTTGTTGTGCCATATAAATAAGCAACTTACCTACGTACTTAACCATGCATGTTCCATAAGCACTTTTCCAGTGCAAGGTTGCAGTGAACTGAGAAACGATCTCAGGCTGCACTCGGTGTGAGGCAGGGGACACCTGCTATATGATGTGAAACCATCAAAGAACACCTGCATGCACAATCGTTCGATATGAGCAATCTTATTAAGCGCTGATTTGCATAACCACATTTGTTTTCCAAACGCATCTACTCCTCTGACGTCTCTGCTCATATCGCTGTCGGCCCGTAGCTTTCTTCTCTAATCATGTTTCCAGTAAAGGTTAGCCTTTTGCGTCTTCAGACGTACGTGTCCTTGCAAAATCTGCTTTAGGTGATAACAGAAAACAGATCACAGTCGCGTTTGAACCCTGTGTGTGCATTTGAACCGAGCGTTTTGATCGCCCTTTTGGCTCCTTGTACAGATGTCCTCTGCCGCATGGAAAGAAAAAAAAAATGCTGAAACCAGAGTAAACTGGCACTGCCGTTAGCTTCAGGGTACGCTCTCCTCTGCAAGGTCTTTGCAGGCTTGTGGAGCAGTGCCAGCAGTTTGAGAAATCTGCTCTGTGCTCTTAGGACTGACTGAGCTGAACGATTGCTCTAAGGGCACATATTTGTTAAAATTCAACGGGCTCCAAGTAAATCAGTGTCTCTCCTACTCATTCAAGTGTGTTTCTTTTCCACATCAATTACTTTCTGTGCAGCCTTATTCATAATATTACAGCTGGATAGAGTAGCCTGGTCTCGTTTCTGAAGCCGAAATGTTGAGCGCGACCAATTCGTTTTCTCAGGGAGCTGGTGCCCAGCTTGTAACAAAACAGTAGTCCCCACTGGTCATTCTTCTCTGGTTGTTCTGAGTTGTTCGCAGTCTTATAAAGCCTCAGGCAGCATTATATACCCCTTTGCTCAAAGGATGAAATTTTTAATTAGTGATCCAAGCTGGGTTTGAAAATGTTGCTCATTGGAATATAATGGCAGTTGTCAAGTAACATTAGTACTGACCTGCGGCGATCAGCAGGAAGCTGGATGTCGATCGACTTCTATGTGAGCTTGTTAGCACTGACAGCTGACAAAAATGGTGTGAGAAATTTGTTATGACTGGGAAGCTTGGGTACATGTGTGTGCATGTATGCAAATGCGCTTCCCGTGTCTCATTTCACTGTCTGCTTTGTCATAGCACTAATTCAGGTAACACCAGTGACCTTCTCCTCATGTCACCCCGGACCCTGGACTCGCTGATGCACAACGAGGGGACTGAAGCCAACCCTGGCCCAATGGGTGAGACTTTATTTTTTAAAGCATTTTTGATTGTAAAATCTCTTCTGTGCATTGACAACCAGGGATCTTTGAGTACACCATTTTTAGGCTGCATTGATAATCGCTTGGGACTTTTTATTCTGGTTCTTATTCACTATAGTGTATGAAATTCAAAATGTTTTTACCTTAACAATTTTTAATACTTGTTTATTATAAATCATTAATGAATTAAAGCAATAGAACAAAGGAGCCACCCTACTTTCTACGGTCAAAGTCTATATATTTTTGAAATTGTAACACTCTGTAAACCTCAATTTGTAAATCCGTTTTTCTAAGAAATTATGTGCAACCATGATACTTTGTTCTTCTTCAGTTTACGCTACTGGTGTAATGTAATATATTTATTTGAAGAAATGTGGCTGAGTCTCGGCAGACTGAACAGATTAGAGTACTTTAATACTTAAGATCAGTGATAAATAATATTTTATGCATTTGCAATGTGATCTTTGATGCAAAATCACGTAATTGTAAAAAAGGAGTCTTCTTTTTACTAAAAGGTGTGCTGCCGATGGTTGGCAATGCCTGCATCCACGTACTCCTAGTCAGATCCAGTTAGAGTCCTTTATGAATGTCGTTTTGTCCTTGAGCCAATTTTGAAACACAAATTAAACACCTCATTTCTGCAAGGAAGCATTCTAAGGATCTGATCTTCACTTCATGCGTGAGGTTCCGCTTTTTGCCAACAGTGAGCCTTTGTGTTTTTGTTTTTGTACAGAATCTCTTACTCTGGACATGGAACTCAGCTCCGATGTTGCCTCCCCAATGTGAGGAGGACTCCACATCCATGCACCCATACTATTATTGTACTTAACTTCTTTTTAATTTTTTAATTTATACTAATATTTAATCTATGGGTTATCCTTTAAACCAGCGTTTCTCATCCTGGTCTTGGGGGACCCCCAGACAGTCCACCTTTTTGCTCCCTCCCAGCTCCCTGCCAGACAGTCCACATTTTTGCTTCCTCCCAGCTCCCTGCCAGACAGTCCACCTTTTTGCTCCCTCTCAGCTCCCGGCAGGACCGGTTTGAGAAATACTGCTTGAAACGGTGTAGAAGCCCATCTTTGGATGGCTACCAGTGGTGAAGCTTAATATTGCTAATTATTCTTTGACCATTAGCACTTTTTTATTGTTCTCTTGGACCTTCGTGGCTGTCAGCGCACTTGTCTTGACTCATGTTGACCAGTCGCTGATGAAAATGACCACAGGTTAAAGAAACCTTTTGGGAGCCAGAACTAAAGAGTGGTGATGGATTCTCTTTGATTTACTGTAATGGGAAAAAATATGTAGTTGTTCAGTTGTACAGTGAATGGTAACACTGCCTGTCTTCCCAACACGAATGTGTGGACAAGGTTTTAAAATAGCATGCAGTTTACTGTAAATGTTTTTAAAGGTAGACAACTAGAATATAGCATGAAATTTCCTGTTAGGGTCAATGATGCTGTACAATTTTATTTGGTGTGTCCTTATGCAGCAAATTCATATGTAATCTGTTAGGCTATGGTTTTTTTTCCAGTGTTGTTTTGCTGATGTCTCTGTGCTGTTTACTTTTATTGGGATTATCAACATAGACACCCATAGTATTATACCATCCATATGTCCAGCACTGTTTTAGTACTGAACCAGGTGCTATGGGTACAGATAAGATCATTTATTTGTACTGATTATTCTGTATTTAATGTTCTGCATTTGATTTTCACATTGTAATGATGGGACTGATTATTGAACATATTTTCACCTTTTTATTACAACAGATTTTCCTGTTATCATGTACTGCTTTAAGCAGTTGCTTTTTTTAACGGTTAAGACTCAGAAATCCTTTTTTTTAAGTCACTGCATAGTTTGCTTTGAATTGCAGAATAAAACAAATATGATTTGTCAGTACTGGCTAATATAACTTCTCTTTTTCAGACTTTGCTGTAGTTTCAAACAGAATTCCCCAAAACAATGAATGTTTGATGGTGCTTTTTGCCACCAGCCTCACAGACTCTCCAAAGCTTTGAGAGATAAATAGCATGCAGATGGCTTTTGGTTTCAAAAGAACCTGTTAGTGCACTCTTACTTTTAATAATGCCTTTTGAAACAAATAGTTTCTTAATAAAGACAAATTAAGCTGACGGCTGCTGTATGTTCTTGTGGATTAGATATTTGTAGACATTAATTCTTACAAGGTCTCCTACAGAGGTATCTGAGCTCATTTGATGGCCATCGTGAGCATGATTTTTGCATGCTTTTCTCTTCGTTTCTTGACTTCCAGTATTTAAAAAAATATCCTGTATGAGATAGGCTTGCATCCAAAACAGCAGCATCCTGAGGCTGAAAGCACAGAATTAGAGATAGACTTAACCATTCATATCCCATTCCTAAATAAGAACTAGTTGTATAACACATTCTACAACCTCACCTACCTCGATATCATTAGGAGTAAGGATCATGTATGTATCGGTTTTCACACAGCAATTTCTGTGCTGTATAGTATCACATTTTGTCTACAGATGCTGCACAGCATCTACCAAAACAGTTCAGATTCATGCAAAAAAATGAATAAATAAAAATGAGTAGAATTTGTGAACATATGGTCTCAGGACAACTCCGGAGTGCAGTGTGCATCACCCAAAGGCACTGTGCTCATTTGTAAGAGCGTGGCAGCCGCTTTCACGATGCAGTCGAGTAGGCGTGTCCACGAAGAGGCACTTATGATCAACAGATGCTGACTCATTCTCTGCAGGAAAGAACCAGGGCACCTCCTACCTCTCTGCCTTCCAGTCAGGCGGGGGAAATCAATTTGTTGTGAGCACATTGCCTGGGGAGAGGTGCCCCGCGCACAGTGCCTGCTGAGAGCAAGGGCTGATGGGAAGGAAAAGTATCGTCTCAGTGCATTTTCAGCAGGATTTTGATACTATTGATCATAATATTTTTGGGCTTACCTCAAGTCAAATATGCAAAACTGTTAACATGATTTTTCTTGTGGTTTAACAGTGAGCTCTTCTGTTCTTAGAGAATGTTAAGATTTCTCTCTCTTCACATATCATATACTAAAAAAAAAAAGTCTGGTCTCGTAACAAGATATTCATCACCAGGGAGTATTGTGTTAGGGTTAGATCAGGGGTGGCCCCTTATCCGCAAAGGGATAGAGTGTTTGCAAGTTTTTGGTATGACCTTTAGGTCAGCTGTTCAAACCCAGGTGTGAGGACACCTCAGCCAATCAGTCCTCTAATTAGTAATCTAATTAGTGAGCTGCAGCGAAAACCTGCATACACAGCGGTCCTTTCTGGGTAAGATTGCCCACCCCTAGGTTAGGTGTATAATAGAAGTTTTTTTTTTTTGAGAATTTTTGAAAACTATTTTTGACGGACTAGTTACAAATATCAAAAAGTAACCCCCTGCCCATTACTTGAACCTAATATTAATACGCATCAGGAAACAGGAAAGGTTCTTCTCAAAGTACACCTTCCTTCCACAAACGGCAGTGCATGACTTGAGTGACTTCAGTCTACAAAGGTCAGTGAGGATAAAAGTCACCTAGGCAACAACACACTGTCCCTCTTCCTGTTTCTCCCAAAGACTGATTTCAGTAGATTTCCAGCATGAGGATTTAAACAAAAAGCTGGCTGACTCTAGCATACTCTCCTCTCTAATGATAGTAGTTCAACAAACCACCATCTTTCTTCTCAAAGTTATGCTATAAGTAAAAGTTTTCCTAATTTACATACAACCATGATTGAGAATTGTTACCGTAATTAATATATGCGAGTCATGTAAAGAAATTCATCAATTGAGGGTAATACATATAGCAAATGGCCTGTTAATTTCCATAATAACAAGACTTATAATGATATTATGACCGAAAAGGGCCTTTCACAATCAGTCTGCTGCCGTGTATCGACACTCAATGTTGTCATCAGAAGTAGCAGGAGAGACGTCGCACCACGGCCACCAGGTGTCGCCATGCTCCAGCGTGACGCAGGGTTTTCTGAAAGCGATAGGCAACGCTTCTTTTCTTAAATTAAAATCCTAATCACTTTTCAAAAGTTTTCCAACTGTGTTTAATTACTAAAGGAAATGAAAGACAGAGTATACGATGTAGATCTGTTTTTTTGCCATAGTGAATAATAAAACAATTAGAAATGCACGATCATGGGCGTAAATTACGGGGGTGGGGGGGTTGTAGCCCCCCGAATAAATCAAAATCAGCTAATACAACCCCCCCAATAATTATGTTTCCCCCGTAATGGGTGGAGACCTCAACCCCCCCAATGTTCCAGCCAAAGTTACGCCCTTGTGCACGATGAAGACAAACTTCTTTTATACTTACAGGTATCCCTCAACAATCACAAGTTTGGCATATCGAGACTTAGATAAACCAATCATACTAATTACTTTAATATTAATTCCGGAAATTTATTCAACAAATATCTTATCCAGGCCAGTTTAATTAAGATTGCGATCGCGGCGCGAAACTTCTCAGCTCAAACGAAGATACGTCAAGATGTTGATGTGTGGGAGAACTAATGAGGCGGCTACCGCTAAACTGGGGACAGAGCAAAGTCTGATGAGCCAATTAATTTGAGTGTTGTTCTGGGTGAAATCGATTGAATAACATAATAGGTGCTATTTGTGGCAAGTCAAGATTAAATGTTTAGAGGGGTAGACTTTCGACTGGCATGTTCCTTTTCTGCCTTGTGCCATGTCCATCCTGGGGAAAAATCCAGACTGAGCATGACCCTACAAATGGATGGATGGTGCACATTTAGCAATATCAGTTCTTTACTTAATCTAGTAACACTCATAAACTCTTGACTTAATTTGTATGAAGCGTAAGAACTGTCATCGTATTTCAGATTTTCCCCTGCCTGAAAGTTAACCTGAAAAGAAGACTAGTAGGTAGCAGAATAAAGTACACAAAAACAACAGGGATCTAGCAGCTATCGCTGCTTAAATCGTAATAAAGCATTCATTTTTTTCGAATGTGAACAGCCCCAAGCAAAGCAATAACAACGCAAACGCCAGCAAGTGCGTTAAATGTAGTATTTATCCGTACTACTGCATTATATCATTGTTATTTTGTCAATGACGCTGAAATGTATGAGAAAACCTTCCCGAGTGTTTTATAAAGAAGGAACACGCACAATAATGATAGAAATACTGATCCTTGTTGGCTGCAGCACGCACAGCGGCTGATGGTAGATTCTGTCAGGAAGGTCCAGTATTTGCTTTGCGCTATTATGGAATAAGGATTGATTTAACAGTATTTTTAAGAAATTAATATAATTCCAATTAAGTTATTGCTTATATAGGCTATACTTGTTTTTTTTCTTCTTGTCATTTAACATATAAACATACGACGGACTTAGGAAGGGGGGTTGTATTTAAATTATTAAGTTGTGTTCCCTCCAGTATGAAGGATTCTCCCACGCCGTTCTTACTAGATCTGGACTGGGATTAAAAGTCGGCCCTCGAACGCTCCCGGTGTGCCAGACGGCCAGTACAGTACTGCATGTGACCATTCCCTATTTCTGTACATTAATATTATATAAAAAGATAAACGGAGTTGTCATAATTTGCACGTGCGTATTGCCGAACTACAAGACCGTGGAAGATCTGGCAAGGGCAAGATGAGCAATTACTCATAGCGGCATCTTCTGAAGTGACGCCTTGGCAAACCACTGGTACTTCCCTCCTCCGACAACTTTTACCGTCTCCACCCCCTGCGCAGGGTGAAATTGGACTGTAAATCTTGCAAAAGGCGCCACAAGACCTTCGACCGCCTCTGACACAGGGGTATATTAATACTTATTTAAAACTTACGCCTGTTTTTGCGTTTTAAGAATCGCTGGTGCGGTGCAACTTCTAATAAATTGAGATGAACGTAAAATGTTCATTATCTGTTGCAGCTCTTGAAAGAGCGGTGAAAATGAATAGTACTTTTTAAGACATGGGGAATGAAGGGTGGAGGATCGGTACAAGCACCGGGGTCCACACGGGACACAAAGACAGAGACGCTGCTCGGTCCGAGCGAACTCGACATTATGGTACGAAACGCTCTGTCACTAGCAAAGGGCCGGAAGTGGGCGGTTGTACATAGATAGAGAGAGAGGGAGTGAGAGAGAGGGATAGAAACCGATGAGCGAAAGACAGCAAATGAGAAAACTGCGTAGCTAACTGACAGGCAGAAAAGAAGACGGAGGGCAGGAGCTACTCTGGGCTCATTCGAGCATTGTGGGGCTTTTATCTTCCACCCCTGCACTTTTATGCTGGAAGACGCCGAAAACGACAGACCTGTGGAAGTAAGTGGGGCGTTTTATTGGGGGCGGCGGACGAGTCCCGCAGGAGCTTTTGAAAGCGCATTGAGCGGGGAAACTGCTCCGTAAACAAACTGGCCGCTGGCGGATGATCCCCCTGGCAGCGGTGCGTCTGACGCCCCGATACTTTCCAACAGCGGATGGGCGCTCGTGATTTCGACAAGTTGTATAACTCGTCGCCCTGACATGACCGGTACTACCGTAACGTAGGCTTGGTTTAGGAGACAGGGGTCGCCGCTGGTGTCTGAAGCAAACTGTAGAGTGGATCAACAGGCTGAGGAGCAGACGGTGCCTGTAGCTGTTAGCTAGGCTAGCTGCGCTCCGGCTGTCAGCTAAGGGACAGTCTGTCTAAGTTAAATGGAGACTTTACTTCGTTATGGTGGTGGCCGGAGATTGCTTCTGTGGGCTCCGTCGCGGTGTTTTATTCGTCCCGGCGACTTGGCTAACGGCAGGAAGTTCGGGAGAAGTTTAACACCGGTTGGAGACGGCGAAGGACCGGCGGCAGCTGCTCGAACTCCCCGTCCGCGAGATTCCGCGCGGCGTATGACCCCACGAGCCCACGCCGGCGTAGCCGCCGGGTCACGCGGAAACATTAACGGACTTCTCCGTCGTCCGGTGACACGCCGCCAAAGTCTCTAAGCAGGGGAAAGGTGGAGAGAGAGAAAGAAAAAGAAGTCAACGCGATAATGTTGGTTTGCTTAAATGTGACAGTTCCTCATTTCTAGTCCTCGACCCCAACGAATATGCCAAATTGCAGAAAAGAAACCCTACTGGCCACGGTAAAGTTGCCACTACGCGAAACGCCCTCTTTTCCCGGTACTTTTACGATCCCTTTGCACGTGAAGTGTGCCCAAAGCTCTGGCTGGCTGGCTTGTGTAGCCGGTTAGCTACTGTAGTATGCTAGCCTCGTATCAGCGTGCATTTGAACTGTGGCTGAGGCGCTGAAGATCAGACTGTGTGTGTTTAGTGGCGATGTGGTTAATATCTTGCTAAATGTATTTTTTTGCGTTAGGCTCTGCCTCTGCGATTAATAACGCGGTTCCCGTTATGCACCCTTTTGATGCACCTCTGCTGCAGTTAGTGAACTGTTGACATGTGAGGTGGGGACTGAACTGCCTTAAGGTCCCCAAGCCAGTTTGTCTAGGACGTTATTCTGGGTTGACTGGACTTCTCTAACTTTTTTGATTGGTCAAATGATAGATTAAAAATTAATCCAATGTTTGACATTTGGATGTTTTCCTCCTGTCCACCAGACATGGTTATTTAGTGTCAAATGTTTTTAATTCTTTTATTTCTTATTCCATGTTTAAAAATCAAGACCTTATGATGTTCATGTCATTAGAGTGCCATATTTGCATATTATCTCTAGTGAGTGTTATTCTATCAAATAGATTCACATTTTAGATTCATTCTGTCTTTTGATAGTGGTTTTTATTTTTATATCTGTCTAATTTTAGAAATTCATTAAAATGGCAGGAAACGGCAATATTTAGAACCAACCAAATGGATGCAAAAGAGTCAGAATGAAAAACGCTTATTGCAGTTAACTGCCTGTCATTTTTGTTTTGAAAGTGGTCTCACTCTTTACTCTGCCTTTGTAGTTTCAATATATTCTCCCCCCATCAGAGTTGATTAGACAACTTGGTTCAAATGTGTCAGTGTACATAGAGCTGATATGAATATTAGATATTAAGATATTGCATTTCTGTGTTAATGTTTTCAGATGGTATGTAAAGGAGTTTTAAAGCAGTTGTTTTTGTTCAGTTGGCTTCTTTTAAAGCTTCTCTGGGCTGATATTTCCAGTGAATGTCTGTGTTAGTTTGTATCTGTCCTCCCCACCACCATGGAAGTGACATCTTTGGTTGTGTTTCTGACCATGTAAGTCAGACTCCACAAGTGTGGCATCACATTAATGACAGTGTCTTTTTCTTATCTACTCGCATATCCAGCTGCAGTTTAAAAGCATGTTAGATGTACAGAGATGGTCAGCTATTATTTTAACCGTTTTGTTTATTGTAATTCATTAGGGCATTTTTTCGCTAGGACATGTAGTGGGAATGCCACTCTATATGTGCTGGGTAGCATTTAAAGCTATGCTTGGCAACACTGCGGTAGCTCCCAGCCTGGTGGTGGGTTGAAAATTGCATTATTTCAGCACTCGGTCATTGTAATCTTACTATTAGTGTGACATTTCCAGAGAACTCATTTCTTTCTGCTATAGAAAATTTGGGCAAGGTTTAGTATCTTGATTATACACAATGCCTGGTATTTTGGTACCAAACTTGTAAATGTTCCTTTGTGATAGTCAGGGGAATTATTGATAATTATTAGATATACTAGATTTCTGACCCCCCGCCCCCCCGAACCTTGACCAGAATCAGTGGTTAGAAAATGGATGACAGTATAACCTAAATTCTTTCTTATTGCCCTCTATGAGTGTTACGTTTTGGCTGAATTAGCCCTTTGGTGTTAATAAGTTTGTATCACTTGCAATATACAGGATGACCTTTTGCTATTAGATTATATATGCAGCTGCAGGGCGGGCAGGTTAGGTCCTGCCCTGCCATCATGACTGGAGAAAATACCTCAATGCCTTTGCCCCATCCTGCTTTCTCCCATGTCCTTTAAGTCTGATCATGTGACTGTATTCATAACAGTCAATTCCAAAAAATATATGGATTATTATGATTTCTCCGTTCCATTTCCTTTAGGCCTTGTGGGTGTGTCTAGGTGAGAGTGGTGAAAATTCAAAACATTGGTGAGAAAGTTATAATACAGCACCCCATGTCTGTAGGTGATTAAACAGTTCTAACTTCTTGACAAGGTCCTGTTCCTCCAGAACAGGTCATCTGATGAAACTACGGGTCAGCTAAAACTTTTAAAAGATTTTGTGTTTGGTTAACTTGGTACATTCTGTAAGATTCTAGCTATGGTTTCATGCTTAGAGTATTGTGTACAAATAAGATTAAATCAGATTACATTAACAATTAGAGGTTATAAGAACCATATTTTTTTATAGGATAGGGTGCTTTTACAAATTTGATATGATGATAAAGGACAAAATTTCAAGTGTGGTCGGTTGTTACCAGGGTAGATGTGTTTTTATTGTCAGAGAGTACAGAAATCACTTCAAATTGAACCAGACAGGCTAATGATCCTTTGACACAAGAAGATGCTTTGAACTTTATTAATTTGAGATTCTATTTTTTCCTTTTTTTTTTCTCAACATTTTTCATTTTCAGGGGTGAGGTCTTTGCATTTTTTTTGTTGTGTGGGCATGTTTTGAGTTTTGGGTGGGTGTATTTTGAATTTTGTTTGTATGTGTGTTGGTACTACTCTATCATAAGGATCTAGATTTACTCTATAAGCATGCATGTATTTGAAAAAACAAGCTTGGGAGAGTGCATGGTCTTGGGAGAGTGCATGGAATGCAGGGTCTATATTGGCCCAGCCACACAGTACAGCTTTTGTTGCCATCGTTATGTAATTTGCCCTTGACTAATTGCACACTTACTTGACCTTTTAGATATATCTTATTAAAAATTAAGACAACATAGACTGTCTTGAAATCATGTGATACAGTTACCACATTAACCCCGATAGTTTACGCAGTCTTGTTTTTGTTTGTTTGGGCGACTACTTCAGTGTAGTAGTGCAGCCTAGGGTTCAGGTTCCTTCGTCTGCTGTGTCAGTGGCCTTCTTAGCATTGAGAGACAAAAGGGGTTGGTGCCTATGCTCCCAGGTGACCCTGTACTGTTTGGAAGATGGATTGTTGTTGTTGTTATTATTTTTATTATTATTAGTGCAGGAACTGATAAGTTGTAGTGCTCCAGAAATGGTGAGTTTGTGTGATATGACATTAACGTGCCAACTGATCACCAGCCACATGGCTAAAGATGCTATGACTAATGTAATCTGTAATCTGTGTAATGTAATCTGGCTCATCTTGAATGGACCAACTTAGATTAAGTGTAGAGTAGAGCTGCCACTAACGGATATTTTTCTATGGATTAATCTATAGCAGGGGTCTCCAACTATGGTCCTGGAGGGCTGCCGTCCAGTAGGTTTTCTATCCTACTTGGCTTCTGATGAGCGACACCTGCTCCTGGTATTTACCTTACAACAGTTGTGGCTCATCAGAAGCCGGGTATGATAGAAAACCTACTGGACGGTAGCCCTCCAGGACCGGAGTTGGAGACCCCTGATCTATATAATATTTTACGGATTGGTCGATTGATCTAAGCCACTTATTTTCCTTGAGAAAATCAAACTTACCATTTAAGTTCATTTTATTTTGACAACAATCTGTATGTCATTGCTGGACTTTAGATAATTGACACCGGGTTTTCGGTGCCATACGGGCATTATTTTCACCCACAATTCAACCAAGCAGATTGCAATGAGATGCATATTGTGATGCCCAAAAGTTACTAATCTGTATGAATTTTGTGTAACTTTGTGCTTATTGTATTTGGTTAGCGGAGCACCACATGCTACTGTTTTGGTAAATCATGGAAGCAATAAGCACTGAAGTGGTGGTGAAGAAAGGGACATATTTGCAACCACAACATATTTATAATAACACTGGTCCCAACGACATCAATGTAGAATAAGCCTAGATTTTAGCTTAAGCATTTTCACAAACGCTTATTCAATGGAGATTCTAAGGTAGCAGGTAGACAACTTTATGACTTTAATAATGAGTGTATTTAGCTACAAGGACAAATGACATTAAAAAGATCCCCATACTAATGGTAATTTAATAAACATGAATAGACAACATGGTGGTTTTGCCTACTCTGGCGGTCCATCATCCTGAATAGCTCCTATGCGTTATCTCTTCAGGTGCTTGTGCATAGCGCTAGCGCCACCGTGGTACGCCATTGAAACTTTGCACAGTGTACAAACTACCTTTTTTAGTGATAATTTGAACTACTCCCATAATTGCACAGTGATATTAAAGCATCGACGTCATCTACTACATC